TGTTTAAAAAAATAAACATACCTCCACTTATATGTATGTTATAAGAACTTTGTGTCAGACGTGGATTTCAGTAACTTTAAAAAGTATGCAACATTCTCAAGCAGACCTAAACGCAACAATAAATAAGAAATACCTCAAGTTTGTTTTTTTATTTGAATTTGACTAGCTTATATTCATTTATTCATAGTGCTCATTATTTTCTTAGTTTATTTCTCGGCGATTGCGGTGTTTTATAGCTTTATTCTATTCTGCTTTATTTTTCAGCCAGCAACATGATGAATTAAAAAAAGTCAAGTGTGAATATCCGTCAGAATTCTAGGCAACATCAACGACAACATCAGTGGTCGCTCTACGGTTGATAACCAAACAAAATAATAGTAGAACTATATTTGGCTATCTTTTCAACCGTAATATCATCAAATTCAACTTCAATGGTTATGAAAAGAAGAAAACGCTTTTTATCCAGATTAATCTGATTAATAGGAAAGTTAATATTTGCCCTGATACAGGCATCAATAAATATTCGGATTGTGTTGATTTTATACTATACAACGCATTTTTCAAATATGAAATGGAAGAGGTTTTATTGAAGTAGACAAAGGCTAAACGACGATAATTGTTTTAAATAAAGTACTCTTTATAAAATAAACAAAACTATTATATTACTACATTTAGTAAAGCATAATATGACGCTTGGACAATACTCCTACTTAACGTGTAATCACAACAGTGAAACAATATTGTCTATGTCCCTGTACATTGCGTGATATTGATCGGAGACGGATTTTCTTGCCCTAACGAAGTAATCTACTTGTAACAGGGGCTAAAGTTCCTTAAAACATCAATACCTACACGCGGACGGTATAATCTATAATAAGCCGTAAATAAATCTGCAATGTAACTTATTTTTAAAACGTAAAATATATATATATATATATTTGTGTGTGTGTGTGTGTGTGTGTGTGTGTGTGTGGTAGAAAAGCAAATTGAAAGCATATTTCTTATGTGACACTACGTCAAAGTAAATTTAATATAATATAATTACTTAAATAGTCTCTCTAAAAGGGTTGAAGAAGGTAGTTTAGAACAATATAATAAATGAAAAAAATATCCTTATCCAAAAACGATAGCTAGAATCATATTGCATGGCGACTGTTACCGCAAATTACCTAGAGTGGTAATCATTGATCATGGCCAACCCTCTAAGATTATGAATACTTATACTACTTAATAGATATACTATTATCTGATCAAAATGATAATTTCAAGTAAATTAAATCTTAAGGTTCATTACGCAATTGTTCCTTTTTAACTAGCATTACATTTATTAACTTTGTCCGTTAAAGACAATATTGTCTATATCAATTAAACCGACAGAAAGAATATTAATTAAAAGAAAAGTTTGTAGTGTTCAAGAAAGGTAATAACGCACTCATTTCACTTCCGTTTGCTCCCTTTCGTAAGACATCGTCACCCACTAGGTTATATATGTTCAAAATAAATTCAAGAAATAGTTTTTATGATACAAGCAAGAAATCGATAGAAATAACAGACTTTTATCACAACATGTATGTCGATTCTAGGACGTATTTTTTCATTGTAATTCAATTTTAGAAATTGACCCAAAAAGTTCCTTTCGCTATTTAAGAAAATATACGTCAGAATCGAGCTTTATAAATCTATGCCTTCAAACAATTTATTTTTACGTATTATTTTCTTTTTAGTTTTATCTGTCAATACATTTGGATTCATAAATACGGTTCTGTAATATTTGAAAAAGATCACATAGATAGCCCTATATAAGCTTAGAGAGATAAAATTCTAGATGTGTACATACTTGTTTACGCATGTAATTAGTTAATATACTAATCATTATTATATAAGACTTATTTTTCGATTTGCGACCTAAACAATCAGCTTATTTTCAAATACTGTTATATTGTCTAAATTATACGTGTCAATTCACCAAATGCAATCACATCTAGCGAAATTTAATGTACAAGTTGCATAACATATTACGAAAAATAATTGTCTATAGCATTCAGATTTATTCTTTTATCCGATATGTGAGGCGTAGTGCCACAAAAAAATTGCGCATGCCTTTGGTTTTGCAAATGTTTATATGTGAATATTTGAGACAATAATTATTTTTCATTATTGTTGTCTTCATTAATTAAAGTCATAGAAAACATTATCCGTAATTTCATTTATTGGATTGGGTAAATATGGTCCAACTGATAATATAATCTCATCAAGGTTTATTAAAAAATACATATAAATATTAGCAATAACAGCTTGATAAGCAATGATACGCTTAAGACTATTACTTCCTTAAATATTTCTTATACTCAATACAAGTTGTTTTGTATTCAAAATCTAAAACCCGATATTAACGAGCATTGTTGAATAACTGTATTAAGATATTGATTCATATCAAGAAAGACATATAAAATCTTTCTAATATTTAAAGTCTAGATTCAAATTTGTTTAGAATATAGTATATTAGCAAAGCGAAAGTATGTTAAATATTATTTTATATCCTATTTTTATACTTAATACAGTTGAGTAAAGACGACGAATTGACAGCAATATCAGTTTAACTAGTCGTAAATGACAATATTTATACTTGTGATAACAACAACAAAAGGTTAAAAATACTATATGGTAGTTATAGTGGCATATTATAAATAAGCTTTCTCCTTCGATTTACTCTCTTTATCTCTCAACGAACAAGTCCCACCAGGTACTATTTTAAGACCTTATACAAATTTTAAAATATTAGCTCTGGGTCATAAATAAAAATTATATGAATAATAAATTTAGAAAACTTCAGAAAATTTTATATTTAACTGCAACTGAAAATAAATATTATTACCATTTTTATTTATGCTTCTTACAAATCTCATTTTCTAAGCATTATTCATTTAATATTAAAATAATTTTAATTTTGCAACAGACGCAAATGTCACTGCATGTTAAACATTTAGTATAGAATCAACAATAAAATTTTCTTCTATATTCGTACTACTTAGTATACCTTTTGTTGATCAAGGCGTGAAAGTTTTTAATAGGGTTCAACTTGGTCCTGTAATTTTACTGACTGATCTGTTTCTATAGTTATTTAAGCTTACTTTAACAAGTCAACGTGGAAGAAAACAATACATATTTGAATTATTAAAAATTTCATATCACCAAATCATTTTTATTTATGTTCGTTGGTTTTATTTGTCTCGTTTTATTATTTAAGATAAAGCACTTTTATTATAACTTACATACACATTCAATTAATATTTTACTTGAAATTATAATGTTCCTTTAAACTAATTCTTTCTGAATTATTGAGATTTTGATACTACTTTATAAATCTTTCCAAGATAATAATCAATAACGATAACAGCAACGCACATTTCAAAACTTAATTCTTACACCGATAATCCTATCTATGGAATCTCGGATGGAATGAAATTTTGAAATGTGCATCCCTCTAAACATCTTGGACCCCAGATTTATTTTCATTGTCATTAGCAACATTAATAACTAAAACATTCAAAAATAGATTTATTTATCTGCTCTAAGTTATACGGCAACATAACAATCTTACTCTATTGGTGAACAAAAATCCTTTAAAAGGATAACAAGCTATAACAATTGTGTCATTTTCGAGGTAACGTTTAAAACTAGAAACTTATCCGTTTTGTGCCAATATTCGTTGTGCTTCTGGTGCACGGTAATACATAATTACACCTAACAATGGTACTTCTAAAGATTATTCAAATCGCTTTACGTATCACACACAATCTAAATTACTGTTTATCAAATAGAAAGATGTTTTACGCATTCGAGCAATATTATTAACAATATTAAGAAAAGGTATTCAGAAATATATTCAGAGCAGACAAAAAACGAGTCGATATATCCGTACAAAACACTTACATCAACGATAGCACGCAAATCCACGATGTCACTACCTTATATTTACCTATTTGAAGCCTAACCGTTCTAATATGTTAGTTCTATATTAAATAAGAGATAGCTACAACCACAAACAGATAAAATCGTCAAAAACGCGCACATATAGACAAAGTTTATTCTTGAACACTTCTTGCATCACTATGAAACCTTTTATTTACTTCATTCCTTCATTGACCAGGTTCTTTTATCAGAAAGCTTATTGTGAAGTGATTTAAATAAGGAATCGATAAGTATGAGTATATTATGGAAAACTTGAGCGAAACTATGACATTATAGACAAGAAAAATTATTAAATTACTAGAATCCAAGTGCTAGAATAAAAAAACTACGTTTTATTAATTTAAGGAGTATTTTCCTCTTTCCCACAATTGCGTGAACACTAAACTCACACTACTACTCCCAGCATCATAATAACATCTATACTGGGAAAACGTACCGATTTCTCATGTTTTGATGAGACATTGTAAGATGCGCCTATTTCTTCAGACGATACCACATCTAAACACGTCGTATTATCGGCAGAGGTGTGTATTTCTTACTGCAGACGTTAGAGTGGAGTTGAGGATTATGATTCTGGGAGTAATTATGGGAGGTTTATTATTGCAATGATGGGTAAAAGGTGCTCATCAAACTGGATGATATCTGTGTTTACCATTTTATTGTTTCGCATGCTGATATTAGTTTAGTAATTTTTCTCGTCTTTGATATAATTGATTTCCGCAAAGTAACGCCCGATTTATTAACAAAACTAACAGAAGCAAAATTCAATAAAATCTTTCTTATTCATCCTTTTAAATTCAAATGGAATAAAAACTATCGAAAACTATTTATTCAACCAGATAAATTTAACAATGTCTAAAAATGAAAACCGAATCAATTTTTGAAACCAAGCGAGATATTCTTCCAACAATTTGTATATACAAAATATGTCAAATGTATATATAAATTTGTTTCGTTATAAGTTTAGAACTTTAGAAATAATAAGGATTCAGAGAGATGACGCTGTTATTGACGATTTGGTGTTGATTTCAGTAGATGAAAGCAGGATGGAGTGGAGGTGGTGGCACGCGCGGCTGCTTATCCAGAGGAGCACAGCAAGTTGGCTCACAACAAGCCGCACTATATGGTGCTGGAACCAGCGTATATTGAGCAGGTGGGCCATATATAGCTGGTGTAGCTGAAATGTTAAAAGTTATTATTGATTAGAATTCTTTTAGTAACAATATATATGTGGTGACGTAAGATTTTTACTTGATCGAGCCACGATGCAACTATTATGGCTGTAACACAAATCGGTCTTCTTGACTGCAGAATGACCACGCTATCACATAATATCTGCGTAAAATAGCCTCCTAATTCTGCTGTGTTTCGTATGGTGAGTGTAGAGAACCGGAGACCCCTTTTACTGTAAACGATGCATTCCATCTTAGTTATCAGAGATGACAACGCGTCTGTATTTTGATTCTTAATCGAGAATAAACGTATCATCTGGTGCAGTGTATGCATGTTGATCAATCTTATTCTTCAAGAAAATAGATTCTTTTCTATCGCTGCTTCTACTCGTTGTGGTGGTAACTAATGACATATTACTAGGTATTTTTATTTTATTTGCTTTATATCTGCTCTAATTCAGAAGTAGCTTTTAGAAGTAGCTCATGTCCATAAGGCGGTAAGAGTCCGTGCATCACATGGATCTCCCGTGGTAAGTTAATCGTCATGCTTGGAATGTAGATTCATAATCGCACTGTCTGACATCTTGCACCTTTGATGCTGCTTCCTTTTTTATATAGGATAAGAATGACAAACGACCACAACCACTGTTACACCAGACAGTCCAACTGATGGTTAGTGGATGCTGTGACTCATAGACATCTACATATTTAACCTCGATTAAGAATTAAAATGCAGATGCGCTTTCACCCCTGAAGACTAAGATGGTATGCCTCGATTCCAGCAAAAACGGGTCTCCGATTCTCTACACTCACTATACGAAACACAGCAGCATTAAGCTGCTATCTACAGCGTCTATCACGTATAAAATATTCCTGTTTCCTGTCTGCCTATTTCATCACGCTTGATATAAACGAGGTGATATCGGAAGTCATAATATCTTTTTAGCATGTTCCAAAGTCACCATTAACGACAAACACAAAACGATATGGGGTGATATATTTTCTCACGCTGCCACCATGAAGCAAATACAATATTACCCTTAAGACTTAAATACAAATTATAATATAAAAAAAATGTCCATACTATTAAACGTGGCCACGTGATAGGGCCACGCTATAATATGGTTGTAGTACGAATGGATCGGCTCGACCGGGAAACAGCAGCTTAATGCTGCTGTGTTTAATATAGTTCGTGAAGAGAACCGGAGACATTGTTTACTAGAAACGAGACATTTCATCTTAGTCCCTCATAGTAACTACGCATCTGCATTTTGATTCTTAATTAGCGATAGATGTAGATGTGTATGGGCGACTGCATCTACTTACCATCAAGTTAACTGTGTGTTCGTTTGTCGTCGTTATTCTATAAAAAATATCATTTTAATAAGACTCCAGCCGCGTCAACATAATCGTATGTCTAATACTTTCCATGTAAATAAATTTAAAAAAAATACCGAAACTATTAATACGTACTGTCAAATGGCAGGCCATATAGAGCATATGGTGGAGGCGGAAGCTCGCATGGGGCGCAAGCTTGTAAGGGAGCCAAGGGAGGTGCACAGAGTAATTGATAGCACAGAGGTGCCTGAAGCGGTGCTGCCTCAGAACTTAGTACTGGTAACTGGCTTGTCTGTAATTATTAAACAAAAAAAGTTTAATTAATGGAAGATTATATTTTTAACAACGTTAAAAATATTGTCTAAAAATAAAATCTAATATATATCTATATATAGTAATAAAATCCTAGGTCTTAATAAAAACAGGAATTGTGTTTTTCTGACAAAAAATTCACATTAGCAGCCGGTAGTCAGGAAGTTGGCATTCATTGCGTCTGATCTCTTGTCGGTCATGTCAGGTGGATGTCCCATCAGACTATTTGAGTAAGGGAACAGAGTGTGCACCTGTGTTTTAGCACACAACCTAGCACTCTAATCCTGTCTTGCACAGATGACTATTCTTTCTCTAGAAAAGAGGCAGGTTCTGATAACATAACTAAGACATTCATTATTAGATGTGCTAATATTCTATATCCACTTTATTTATTTATTCTTTATTAAACCTTAAACACTGAGTAAGTGTATAGGGAAAAAGACGGACATAGTGCTAAAAGAATTATCTACCAGTCAACCTTAGGACAGTAATAAAACGATTAAGGCGGTTGCATAAAAAAACTATGCAAGTATATTATGTTGAAATAGACCTTCTCATACATATAAATATATACTAGTGATGCAACGAATACTACTTTTACGGATACAAATAGGAATATCAAACCTACTATTCGGCGAATAGGAATATGAATATCTCGTCATGGTACTGAAACACTTTTTTTTACTACTAATTTATTTAATGATGTTCCAATAATTAAAGTATCGAATAATTAAAATTTACAACAGGATATTTTCTATTTAAAAAACAAAAAATTTGTAGATTTTCTGGTGTCAGGCGTGTTTCTTTTGTCAGTCTGGATGTTCCCAGCCGTTAAAAAAATACGACAATTTGGTTGAGATGGTAAAACATCTTGAATCGCTATGCGTTGTTCATGTAATCTCTTCAACATCTGATACGTTGAATCTTCAATTAAAACTACTGTTTTGTACAATTTGTTTAAAAAAATTAAACGCGATAAAATCCGTAAGAGTAGTTTTAATTAATGTGTAGTGTTCGCCTAAATATAAGAAATCATTATGTTGAATCCTATCTAGTTTCAACATCTTGAAACAAAACATGTTTCGGCATATTGTTTTATTTTTTGATGAAATAAATATACTTATTTTTATTTTTAATTGTTAGTTTGTTGAAATCTTTCAGTTGTTTGAGTGTTAAAATGAGTAATAAGTAATAACTCCTCTGCCCTTGTGTAGCCGTCGTTGCGGCTTAGGGCCTATGCGAATGTCGTATTGTTTAAGCGCCGACAACGAGGTATTTCAGTCTGCCAGTAATTAGAGCTGCGTACAAAAATATTAGTTTTTAAATATTCGTGATTAGTATTCGCCGAATACGAATATTCGGTAAATGTCTACTATTGGGCGAATACGAATATACGTATTCGTATCCGTTGCATCACTATATAAACATATACTTCTGAAACATATATATACCGTATATACAAAGTATATTGTATGTCTGATATGATATATAGTTAATAAAATGAAAATAAAAAATTGGAATAATAATAATCACAATGATGAACAACTTCTTCTTTTCACTACACTATTTCCATAGATCATTCTATTCGTGAAGATTGTGTATCGATTATCTGGAAATCAGTACTTGTAACACCAGTGTTAAGTCGCGTCCGCACACTTAGCATTGGCCACAAACTCCAAATACCTACAAAAGTTTGGCTTGATTTTGAGAATCTAACGCCGCCATCCACACGCTTACGAGTGCGTCAGTTTGTTCTGAAGAAGCAAGCATGAAAGACATCGAGGTTGTCATGTCGGTCATAGCGTTGAGCATAACTTATTTTGTTATAAATACAAGAAAACAAAAGAAAGAAACGAAAAATATGTCACAAACAAACGTAATGTGAATGTCAACGATATGTGACAAAAACCGACACTTGACGGATCGGCTACAAGCGCTTGCAAACAAACGTACGCAAATCAAGCCATACACTCTATCCACACGTTTGAATTTGTGACGGTTTGTTGAGGTTTTTCAAGTGTGTGGACGCGGCATAAAAAAAAACTCCGTTTGAAAGTTACAGATCCATTCTGTCGTCGTCTATTCATTGGTAAAGTTAATTTAGCAAATGTATTACGTATATGAATTGCCGTCTACTATTCGTCCCCTGCCGCCTCTGCCGCTTCTGCCGCCTATGACGCATATGTTACTCACTTCTGGATCATAAATCTGTTTTGTCATTCTTTCCTTGTTTATTATTTCATGTATTTAATCCTAATACCACCGATGCATCCTTTTCTTAATACTAGTCACAACATCTTGCAAACCGCCTTTTCCTCTTACAACACTATTTCTCACCATTACATTAATAGTTATGCCTGAAATACTTTTTTATAATTGAATTTCTACAGCATTAATTTTACCATCGTATCTTCTGGCACACTCAACTTTCAATGCATTTAATAAGTTAGGGTACCTTAAGATTTTGAATTACTATAATTGTTTTTTTAACTATCTGCGTCCTGGAAAAACACTCCTCGTTCTATATCCTTGTCATATATGCCACTGTTAAACCACAGCCTAAATGCACTCACTAAAAGAACTTCGCTTCTATCATTCTTTCACATATATTCTTTTATATTTAAATTTAATTACCATTACAGTCTGATGTCCATTGCTGCACAGAAGCCTACCCATAGATTACCTTAAAAGGATTTTTTCCATAGTTAACACGGTTTTTTCCATAGTTGGCACGCGAGTTAGCAACCGCAGTTTTATATTTCATTTTTAGTTGTTATCAGGATATATAAATATATACATACATATATATATATATATAATACATATATATACACATATATATATATATATGTATATATATATATATATATATATATATATATATATATACTCAGCTGTCTATCTTCTGTTTCAGTGTCCTTCTATCGGTAAATATATTATTTAGTGATAATTACGTACCTGTTTCCTGACAGCCTGAGCAACGCGAAGTCGACCTAGCGGGGAAAACATCACACCTCCGCTCTGGAACAAATGAAAACTCCATTTTTATTTATGTAATGAAATTTCTTAATTAGAACTTATGACCCGGAACAAACAGAGGCATTATAACTATCTTATATGTAAAAGTGATTAGTGAAGTAACGGCCTATAAATAAGTCTCACTGCTGTTCACAGGACCACTCTTATTTCCAAGAAGGTAAATAATGGTAAATATGTTTCAGAAGCACTTATGTCCATACCCTGTTTTGTTTATAATGTAATTAGTATTATTAATTTTATGTACAACATAACAAAAATTTTCTGTTATGCGTTAATAATAACAAATATATCTTCACTGTTTTCGTCCTCGCTCTTGTGTGTGGTTTCGAATAGTGCGCGTGTCGGTTATAAAATTAATTTAGAAAATTTTAAGCCTAAACCGTTCTGCTATATCTAAGTCTGTATTACAAACTGAATTTACATTTACGCTTACTCCCTAAATAGTTTTCGAGTTCGATTATGGTTTTCAATTAAAAATAACGTTTTTGCGAAATTAATTTGTAAAGTTATTACTGGATTGTTCCCGAACTAAACACGATTGAGTTATGATCAGGCGTTTTCAGCGCCGTTAGGCACGTGCGAATATTTACTTCATTATCCCGAGATAGTTTTAATCAATTAAAAATTTATTTCCTAAATATTTTATTATTTATAAAGGTCAAAGAAATTAAGAGAGTTCTCGTCGCATGCGATTACGAGCACCATCTAACAGCAGCTGGGCAGTTGAAGACTTTCGTTCTGATAATTACAATTTTGAAGCACCATTCGATTGAGCGCTAGAGCGCTCGATTGCTATGGTTTCGAGAGTTCGAAATTTAATTGAATTCGAATAAAATCGATCGAGAACTCGGTTCTGTTGGCAGGCAGGCCGCCAGGTGCGGTCGACGCCACAAGTTTTTATTATTTTGAGTTGTTATCGAGATGAGGGCATCATCTATTTTCATATCTCTCTGTTGCTTCTTAAAACAGACAAAGGACGATATGATGTAGTGAATATGTGGCCTTGATAGTAAAAGGGGAGATCTCCCGCCGGGCAAGGTATTCTGCCCAGGGAGCGGCCAACGCTCCGGGTGATAGTTCGGAGTTTCGGAGCTATTCTATTACCGTTTTTGCTTCGGAACTTTGATAGCGTGATTTAGGCTTCGATGTGTTTCTCGCTTGTGGCGCGACGACTGCGCTGCCACAAATATTTTTACAACGCCACTACATGGTGAATGGTTATTAAATTGAATCAGCGAGGAGATTTCGAGCGGTGGTAACCAGATGCGCACAGAACGGGCGGGACGGTATTGCGGTGAGGCATAACACAATATTATTTAGTAATTAATAACGTAACATTTCTTTTTTATAGAATAATGGTGACAAACGAGCACACAGTGGCCTGGACATCTACTCACCATCAGGTCCACCTGGTGCTGTGGCCCATGGGATATCCATGCATAGATATTCATACATCTATCCTAGATTAAGAATGAAAATATAGATGCGTTGCCACCCCTGACGACTAAGATGGAATGCCTCGTTTTCAGTAAAAAGGTATCTAGTTTTCTACACTCACCATAAGAAACACAGCAGCATTAAGCTATTATTTTACGCTGGTATTCTGTGAGAGCATGGTTCTCTCCCGGTCAAGCCGACTCATTCGTGCTACAACCATTATGGCTTAGCTTCAGCATCGCTGTTCCACGTACGAGTTCCTCGTATGACATAGGTAACATAACACTCACGCCTGTCACACATATGAGTATGCAGTAACTACGAACTTTTATTTGGCACGATCTTGACACACCTCCCACCGGTCGTTCATGTTATCATATGGAACGGTATACTTAACTTGGCCCATCTTCAATAAATCGCCAATCCATTCGATAAATTTCCGTGTAGGTTGTTCCTTGCCAACATTATCACTCACTTATGCAATATAAAATTTTCTTTATCGCTCTTTCGGTTAATACGGTTTCAAATTAAAATAAATCTGTTAGACGAGTTTATCACTATTTCCCACAATACATATTATAAGTACCATCGCATGTGATGTGAGGTAAGTTTATTTAATAGAGAATTACAAAACCTTTATTAGATTAATAACCTAATTTTTATAATACTTAATAATGATGATTAAATAATAACTGACGAACATGAAAGTTATAATTGTAAACATTTTTATTGTTTAGTTAATGATGACAGTTATTTTTATTTTGATGCAATTTTAGTAATAAGAATATAATGTTTGTTTATAAAGTGGGGTACGTGAAGTGATTAAAAGTATATATAAGTAAGTCTGTACTGTCGCATTAGTAATTAATAATTGATGTAATAATTTAAGTAATTAAATAATTAAGAATGTGTATGACTCTATTGTTAAAGCATTTATTTACAGTTGCTTTTTGTCGCATTCAAATAAAAAGTTGTTAAAAGTTTTAAAAAAGTTAATTCACGTGGTAGAGCCATGCTGCAACTATGTTACTGGTGATATGACTGATCTATGCATGACTGCTCGATCGGGGAAATAAGAAAATATATTGTTTTAATAAATTAAAAATTTACTTCTTAAATATTTTATTATTTAATATATTTTCTGTGTGTTCACAGAATAAAATACACACCAGCGTATAGCGTTACCCATTTGCGTTAAAAATATCAGTTTGAACGGTTTAATAAAAATATCACTTCAAATGACTTAACGGCAAATGATTTTTTATTAAATAATATGATAACCTTCAACCACAATTGGATATAAGTGTTACAATCCTTTTTTAATGTGAAGCCTAAATTTTAATGTAGGTACTAAATCAAAAGAATACAATATGTATTGATGTTTTTGAAAAATATTTCCTTCTTCCCTTCAGTATATAAAATTTTAATAGCGCCATCTACTACATTCTATAGATGAAGTCATTTTATCGAACGAAATTGATTAACACTCAAGGTGGTACGCAAAGATTACGCGCGATGGCACAAACACGGCTATGACTGGATAATTTTATTCAATAAGGTTAATTTTATTTATTTAATAAATTTGTTAATTTTTTGTAACTGTATTTTTACCGTTAAAAGATATATTAACCATCTTTACCAATGTAAAGTAGCAGCTTAACGCTGATGTGTTTTGTATGCAGAGTGTAAAGAACCGTAGACCCTTTTTACTGAACACGAGTAATTCCAGCTTTATTAAATTAGAAAGTTACTCAGCTTTAAAACAATCAAAAAAGTTATTCTATGAAAACGAAAACGCGGGCACAGCTAGTTTAAAATATTTTTTTAATAGAAAAAGGGTGACAAACGAGCACACAATCCACCTGATGGTAAGTGAATGCTGTGGCCCTACGAGGATATCTACATTTATCCTCGATTAAAAATCAAAACGCAGATGTGTGATCCCCTCTGAGGGCTAATATTGAATGCCTCGTTTCCTGTAAAAAAGGGTCTCCGGATCTCTACACTCACCATACGAAACACAGCAGTATTAAGCTGCTATTTTACGCTGATATTCTTTGAGAGCGTGGTCCTTCCCCGATCGAGCCAACCCATTCGTACTACAACCATTATATAGCTGCAGCGAGGGTCTACCACGTATAATAATAATAATGTCCGTCACACCGAATTTTGTTTGCGGTGGGCAGTCGTAACGGAAACTAACCATCTGCGTGGTACAGGATTTAGTGCCTGAGTGTACGCGCAAGCACAGGTGCACTCTCTTTTCCCTCACTCTCATAGTCCGATGGGACAGTTATCCACCACGACCGGACCCGGACCTGAGCGCAGTAACAACGGCTTTACGTGCTTCCCGAGGCACGGCGGTGCAACACCATTATCTTCCTGACTCCGGCCACTGTTAGAATTTCTCGAAAAACTCAATAACTGATTTTAGCACGAGCCGAGATTTGAACCCAGGACCTCATGATCAGTAACCGCTTTATTGACCACTAGACCAATGAGGCTGTTTTAAATAATAGGTAGTTTTAAATAGAACTGGAGTGGTTGAAAACATGTTTAATAGAAATACAAGTGCTCTTTGAGACCTCTGCGCATGGCTTCACTAAAATCTATTAGTCACGACAATGCTTGACCCCATTTATACTCTCGTGAATAATGTGCGGGGACCAGTCTACTTTGCATATTGCAACGTAATGATATTATATATATTGTCAAGGCATATCTTTTATACAAGAAGAGGCAAACGAGCATGCGGCTCAACTAATGGTAGCTACAGCTTTTAACAATTGCAATATTATTAATTGCAATTTCCTTGAGTTTCAGATGCTTGCCGGCCTTTTCAAAAAAAAGTAGACTCTTTTTTTTTAAGGTCTCTAAGTCGTATAGGTCCGGAATAATAGCTAGTATAGTCATGAGTTCTGTTACACATTTAAATCCATATCTTTTAAAGAAGCAGTGCTATAATAATAAATGATCTAACAGAATACCAGCGTAAAATAGCAGCATAATTCTTGTGTTTTGTACGGTGAGTGCAGAGAAATGGAGACCATTTTTTTACTAGAAACGAGGTATTTGATATTAATCCTTAAAAATGACAACGCATCTTCATTTTGATTCTTAATCGAGGACAGACGTTAATGTCTAAGGGCCGCAGCATCCACTTACAATCAGATGGACTATGTGCTCGTTTGTCTCCCTTATAATATTTAAAAAATCTTGTGAACATATTTTTCTATAATAATAATAGTTCCATAACACTCGTGGAAATGAGAAGAGGCCTGTACCCAGCAATGGAGAATATAAAGTATGTAACTTTTACAGGGTTTCATCGAATTTAGTAAAAAAAAAATTCTGGCTTTGAAAGTGTTCACATATTGTCTTGCCCTAACAGCACTTGGTCACCCCGATATTTTATGAACTTCGTAAGAAGCATCATTCGTGTCCCTGTCGATATTAAAATGTATATTCCGTACAGCCTAAGTTTTAAGCTAATTTAAATTACTGACGGATCCACACCAACTTTGTGTGTAAACCAATAACTACACACAATTGTTGTACTTGTACAATTCTATTTTCTTTAAAGGTTGATAGCGGTAAAGTATAATATGTGACATGTCACATATTATACTTTACCTTTATCAACCTTTTACAACACAATCAAAGCTCTTAATATTGTAAACGCGTATAATGAATTAGTTATTGTTATTTAAAATAATACCAATGAAAAATAAAGTTGAATAAAAGATAATTTTGGAATATTCTTTTCGAGATGAATTAAAACTATGACACTTACGCAACAAACTCATGCTATGAAAGAAAGATGTTATAGTTATTTATTTATGAAAACTTACAGTGGAATTGAATGATTAAAGGATGTAATATCAAAAAATGCAGCTGAAAATAAATTAAAACGGAACGGAAGGTTATTTGTATAAAAATAAAAATTGTATGTGGATAAAACTCTTGAAATCTTACGGATTTTACCGAGTTTCGAGAGAGTTACTAAAAGCAGTTTAGTGTATTGTTCGCGTCAACATAAGAAATCAATAAAATTGTTATTATGGTTATCGTCAAGTAGGTTTAAAGATTTGAGCGTTATTTCGTTAATAAACTCTTCTACAGCTCTGCGATATCAATATGACAGTAACTTGTGTATTAGAGTAACATTACATACATATGTATGACTTGTGTAAATTTTTCTAAGAACAAATAAAAATAAAGCAGAATTTCAAATCAGAATTAAGTAACTTTTATAAAATTTGTATTATTTATGGCCAGGTTTATATTTCTTTAAATATAGCTTCATTAGAATGACAGCTGTCATCAAAAGTGACGGCATAACTTAGTAGTGGGGTCCAACGTAATGAGTGATCTGATTAATATTGGAAAACGAATAATAATTAATTTCTGGGGAGTTAACAATAGTTTTGATGACAGTTCTTTACTTAAAAATGTGTATAATACATAAATTCAGCTTTAAATTAAACCAATTAGTATTAATTCATTATCACAAAAAATAAGCCCAATAATTTACTACCACCTTACAAGTTAACCCCAAGTTACAAAAATGTTAGAGATGGGACAAATGGAAAAATGTTAATTTATTAAATTAAAATAAATTTATTTTATTTATTTGTTCACAAAATATTTATTTATTTATTTATTTTAACACTTTATTGTACTAAAGGTACAAACGGCGGACTTAATGCCATATGGCATTTTCTACCAGCTAATCGGAAAGTTAGTGGGAGATGTGTGTACTGCAGTGGGCTAAGATGAAACCTAAAATTGATAAATTTCACATACCCCCCCCCCCACACACACACACATCACACACACATATACTCATAGCTCAAACTTAATTATATATACATACATACACATACACATACATATATACATATACATACATACACACACATATACACACGTATATACAAACATATACAATAGATATAATAGATTAAATGCTATAGATTATTTATATATTTATGTGTCAGATGAACCCAAATAATGTTCCTTTACCTTTGTTTTAAAAATCCACTTGTTGGGGGATTTTCTAATTGCTAGGGGAAGCGCATTCCATAGTCTTACAGCTGTAACAACGAAAGAGTTTGAGAAGAAACCAGTACGGTGAGAGGGAGTATGGAGTGACAGATTGTTATGAGAGCGAAGATTGCAATCATGGGAAGAACCCAGGTATTGAAACTTACATTTCGAATACTCTGGGGCCAATGGATCGTTAAGAATAGTGAACAGAGTGCTAAGAATTCTAAGGCTCCTGCGTTGTGGGATATTTAACCATTTATGTTGAGAGCGATAGAAAGAGACGTGGTCATACTTTCGAAGACCGTAAATGAAACGGATACAGTTGTTGAGAAGCCGATCCAATTTATTGACCAAGTATTTGTCTGCATCTAAGTAACACACATCAGCATAGTCAAACATAGGAAGAATTAGCGCTTGAATTAGAAGTTTCTTCGTACAAGGCGGTAAGATATTTTTATATCTGTACAATTTTCTCAAAGTAGTACAAACTTTACGGCTAACTTCCTCAACATGACTGCGCCAAGTAAGTGAACAATCCAAGGTTAATCCCAAGTCCCTAACATGGGAGCTGTAAGGAATTACCTCGCCATTATAAATCAGAGGATCGAACGATGTGTGATTAAGTTTACCTAATTGACGTGCACTGCCTAAGACTATAGCTTGGCATTTGCTTGGATTAACAGCAACCTCATACCTTCTTGACCAATTAAGAATCCAGTCAAGATCGGAGTTAATCACGGTTACAGCATTATTTATGGAAGTAGCATCGGCATGAGCACACAGTTGCAAGTCGACGGCATACATTTGGTAGGAAGAACGAAAATTACAAGTGATCATGTTAATAAATATAGAGAAAAGTAAAGGAGAGAGAATTCCACCTTGCGGAACACCAGTGGTTAATTCACCCCAATTGGACACCATACCATCGACCACGAAGATAGGAGGAGACCCAATTCCGTGCTGATAAGGAAAAACCTATGTAAGACAAGATGGCGATGAGAATATCATGGTCAACGGTATTAAAGGCGTTAGAAAAATCTATTAAAACTAACACCGTCAACTTTCCAAACTCCGTGCCATTACGCACATCCTCTGTTATTTTTAAAAGCGCCGTTGTGGTGCTATGTCCAGGTCGAAATCCTGATTGGTGTTGATTCAGTAAGTTGCTTTTGGTTAAGTGAGTTTGTATCTGTTTGAGCGCTACAGCTTCTAAGACTTTTGACAAAAACGGCAAAATCCATATAGGCCAGAAGTGATTGAGAGCACTGGGCATAGAGATTTTTGGAAGAGGGAGAACAAAAGCCTTCTGCCAGCATGACGGAAACTTCCCAGTAAGCAATGAGCGGTTTATAATGGAGGTTAAAATTGGTACAATATGATCTGAAACTTATGATATCATGGTTCTTTCTATGTTGTCATGAACTACTGCCTTTGATTTAAGTTTTTGTAATACTTTTAAAATATCCTTCTCAGTGACAGCAGAAAAAGAGAAAGAATCAGTATGCGGGGATGACATGGAAGTAATATCCGAAATAGTTTTCATTTTAATATGAGATGGGAGACAAGCCGCTGTCGAAAAGTGAGAATTGAGATCATTTAATGAGAAAATATCTGAGATTACTTGTTTTTTAGTTTTACTGAGACCATGAGAGTGAATGAACTTCCATGTCTCCGATTGCGATGAATTAATTAGGAAATCATGAAAATATCGGCGTTTAGCAGACCTCACCACCTGATTGCAGCGATTGCTAGCCTTTTTGAAGGCCTCCCAGTTCTGTACAGTACGGCAAGATTTATATGTGACAAAAGCTCTGTTGCGCCTGTTCATTGCCAAGCGTACGTCGCTAGTGATCCACGGTACTGATGGACGTTTGATTTTAACCTCGCGTTCTGGCGCATGTGTATTGAAAATATTCAATAATTTAGAATTAAACTCCATAACCATATCATTAATTGAGTCAGTATTTAACACTGGAGACCAATCAATGGCGGACACATCAGTGATTAAGTTATTTCTATTTGATCGAGCATAGCTGCGTAACTTTATTGTATGAGGGATATGTTTAGGTGGTTTTAATTTATATGAGAGAAATAACAAGTCATGGTTCGAAAAACCAGGAGCTGGGTACTGACCATAACTCCCAACTTTATTAGAAGATGTAATAATTAAATCGATCCAAGAATCCGCGGTAGAAAAATTATAGTGAGTCGCTTTAAGGGGGAGAATGGAGAGGTTGACCGAGTTTATGATGGATCGTAACTTTTGAGAATTAGAGGAGTTTTACAGGTCTGTGTTGAAATCACCCATAATGACTTGATGTGTGTACTCAGAGCAAATGTTATCTAGGATAGATTCCAAAGTGGAAAAATAATTAATAGAGGGAGGAGAGTAAACGACTCCAAGAATAGCTTTGGCCCCCTTTAAATTAATTTCAAGAAACAGATACTCCATGTCATTAGCCTGTTGATCAAAAGTGGATTTTACTTTGAAGGTTATATCACTACGTAGGTAAATAGCGACTCCACCCCCACGCCTTAAAATTCGGTCCTGTCGTACCAGTACAAATCCTGGTAGACCATATGATGGTCGAACATAGGTTAGGTTTTAACCAGGTCTCGGACACTAGTATAGAATGGACGAGATCAGCTGAGAAAGTAGCCAATAATTCAGTATAATGACATGGAATACTTTGCGCATTAATATGACATATATTAAGATTAGAGTGAACAAAGTTAATAAATGTATCAGAAATTTGTTGCCTTAGGGCGACCTGAAAGTTATAATCATCATCATCGGAGTGAAAAGACGAGCTCATATCACTTGCTGACACAAAAACTTCATCATCAGACATAGTAATTTAAGATAAATATCATATACCTAAGACAAATATTTACAAAAATAATGAGATATATAATGCTAGAATATAATTTATATGTATAATATAAGGTACTATTCTATCACACCACCTTTCCTCAAGTTGACTGATAGTTACAAAGCAGAAAACACTAAAAATTCAATTTTACATAAAAAAACGAACATGGCAAAAGATAACACAAGCTGGATACAAGTATTCCAAGTAATATTTAACAACAACTAATGCAAAATTTCATTAAGGTATAGAACAATGTAAGTAAGGCTTAATGGTCCACATACCTTTGCCTTAACCATAATCTGTCAGTGTCATTCAAGTGACCAAAATATTATGACAGAATCAATGAATCAAGAAAGTAACAAGAGCGATAGTCAAAATTGCAAAAAGAAAATAATAAAAAATTAACCATACCTACTTAATTAAATCAAAATTGCTAGATCAAACCACTAAACTTACTTATTACTACTTCCACTACTACTTTCAAGATTACAAAACTACACTTATTGTGGTGTATCATACTATTACAACTGTATGATGAATTGTATGACCAGTCCACTGAACAATATAAAATGTAATATAATATTATCGTAGCTTATTCTAGTAGTAACCAAGATTATCATAACAGTGTACATTAAACTTAATTAAAACTTGATTAAAAAGTAGTATGAAAAATTAAAGGAGAAACTTGCAACAGTAGGAAATTATTATCAACATATCAGATAAAATTCAAAACAAGTCTGAATGTTTTCAAAAATATGCAAAGATCTATTAATATTTAAAAACTAAAAAATAGTACATATTAATCTCACAAAATTATTTGTAACATCCAGTTGCTATAAATTTAAGATAAATACTATGTAAGGTTATTGGCCATAAATGTGAATTGGGATTGAAAGTGAGTAAAACTTATAAACATTAAAACTTATAAAAATTAACAAGTAAAACTTATAAAATATGTTTCCTTTCAAAAAAATAATAATCATGCATTCGGTCTTTTTTAATATTGGTAACACTGAGCACATTGAACCGCCATTTTGTTTGTTTGAGCGTCAGTCAGTACGAGTGCCGACGCCACACGCCTTTTATACGCTAGGTGTTCCCCAGTTTTTGTTCATTTCGTTGTTCCTATTTTTTATTGTTTTTTTATTGCCTTTTTGTGTAACAATGCTAAAAAGAAACAGATAAATTGTTTTAAATAGCAAATCTCGCGAGTTTGTGATTCGTTTGCGTGACTATTTTGAACGTGAGTACCAAAATAGCGGACCACTGTTGGCAGTATCACAAGTGTGTGACAGATTTGTTGAGGCTCTTGGAATTGGAAAAGCTACTGTGACTAGGATCAGCAAAGAAAAACTTGCAGGTACATCAACGGAGGAGAATAAGTTATCTACATCAAATAAAGTGAGAAAAAAGTTGCCCTGTAACTGACATAGACAATTTCAACGCCGCAGCAATTCGTAATCATATCTACGCATACTACACATATAGCTGCCAACATTAACAAAATTAGAAGTTTCTCTGAAAGATGCTAATTTGTTCAGTGGGAGCTTACTATCTTTATCAACAATATTAAAAGAATTTGATTGTATTATAAAAAGAGTAACAAAAGAAAAATTATTATGGAACGTAACGACATCTCATCATCGACTCTTGCACGCATTGTTTATTTTTCGAAACGTGATAATTGGGATAAAGTGGTATTCCTGGGTGAGACATGTCTGAATGCAAACAACATGATTTCTATTGGACTGATGATAAACCTGAATCATCTGCCAAGGTACCTGAGGGCAAAGGTCAAAGATTAATAATTTGCCATGCGGCTACCTCGTCTGGATTTGTACCAAATTGCTTACTGGCATTCAAGTCTGTCAAGACGTCGGACCACCACGAAGAGATGAATTTTAAAAATTTGAACAATGGTTTATAAAACTTTTAAATAATTTAGATGAACCCCATGTGATACTAATGGTCAATGCATCCTAATAAAAAAATAAGCCTCCGACAGCGAATAACCGGAAGAATGAACTAATTTCGTAATTAAACCAATAAAGTACAAGCCAACAGCACTATTTTGAAAAATTTTTTTTTTTTTTTTTTTTATATATATCTTACGCGTTGAGTGGGAATACACAAGCCCCAAACGCCAATATATGTTATGTATGAGATGGGAAAAGACAAGGGACATACCGTTATACGCCTGCCATCGTATCATTGCCAGTATAACGCATTAGAATTGATTTGGGCTTAAGTTAAAGGTATTTAATATTTAAATGAAGTTGATTAATTAGTGATAATATAATAAAAAACTTAAACTCATTGTTTTCGTTTCAGGTTATGCAGTAAGACACAACACTACCCTACCGTTCACGGCAAATAAAATGTTAAATTTGCTGAAGAATTCATGTGAACATGTAACTCCAAATGATTGGAAGAAGGTAGTCGATGAAACGCTATGGATTATCACAGAAGATTGGCAACGTGATGTCCGCTTTGATTATTTGTGTGATCAGGAATCAATAATTAATCTCGAAGATTATTCCAGTGAATCTGATTCTGTTGATGATGATTGTAACTTAGAATGTACACACTTGTCAATAAATTTATTATTGCTATTTCTTTATTTATTTTTTTATTATCTCCAAATGAGACTCAATGTTTAAATACTTGGTTAAAATATGTATTGGGTACATATTTTTATTAATATTTATGGACAGTTTATCGATATATCGATTTAATGTTCCCAGCACTAGTTACATCAGAATGACAGCTGTCATTAAAATCAAACTATATTTAAAGAATTATAAAAGCTATATTTACGCTCACGTCTTCTTATTTATTATGGTTGGACGTAGACTTTCCTTTACCTAAATATGGGTGACGTGACAAAACCTATCATCATCAAATATCTATCATGGATTAAGAATCAAAATGTGGATGCTTTGTCATCCCTGATGTCTAGGATGGAATGCTGCGTTACCAGTAAAAATCCTCGTAGGGGATATTTGCTAAAGTTGCACTTGGCAGATATTTTGACAACCCTTGATAATATTTTATTACGTTGAGTTTTTATCACGAAGATGCTGCTACCCAACTCCTATTCCAATTTTCTCTGGCACCTCCTACGGTACGGGGTGCAATAGGTAAGTGGATGTGTGATAACTCGAGAGAATTCCCAGGTACTTACAGTATAATTTTGAACTTATACTTACGCAAAACTTTTTTATATAATATGTGTGTGAACTGGATTTTTCTCAAGTGGCCTGTTAATTTCACACACTCAGTAATAATGCGTACAACTTACTTAAAGATTTCTATTAACAAGCCGCAGAACTCGAATACTCGTGAAATATGCTGAAAAGAGACTGCTTAATATTAAAAGTTTAAGAAACAACTTCGGATCGAAAAACATTTTTCCGTTAAAATTACTCCGTAAACGACAAAGCCGATCCCTTTTCCTTTCAATCATCGACCGAAAAAGTTCTGAAGAGATATTATAATGAATAACGATACTTCAAAGAAGTTAGATAAAGAAGCTGCGGCGGTATTTTTTTTTTTTAGAAATACTCGAACACAAAAGTGGAATTTTTGCGGTATAGATAATATAAAATTTTAAGTAACAAATTGTGGATGCTGCTGACACAGCACACACATGCGTAGTCCATGCAATGTGTATGTAATTCGTATGAAATACGATAACGGTCGCCGCCGGCGAGACGGCAGTCTGTAGTCGATTAGCGAGTAGTTCAGTATTCAGTTACTTTTTGTATCATGTGAACACGCGTATCTGATGTAAAAAACAAATCAACTATAACGGATGTGAACAATTACTTTCCTCCCTACACAAGCCCCTAAGATACACTCGCCACCAAAGGTTAACTACACCACCAATTAATGTTCGCTTGTATCAAACGATTATTAATTTTAAATACACAACTACAAATTTTGCTTTCAAATTTTAATAACAATAGTTTTTAATATATATTTTTTTAACTTTCTATTTTTTTTACTATTTATTTGGAGGCTTAATTGCACAATAAATACCAAGTTAAGATTTAATTAAAATTGATTTAACATTTTTTTAACAAAAAACATAACTCACCTAACAGATAATATTAAAAGAACGAGAACGAGTCGCAGGCATCCACAGATGATGAATTATAAATCCATTGCGTTATAAAAATACACAAATTTAAACTTTTATAAAAAGTATACAATTACATTTAATAGCTTTGAAGCCCGGGAATTTTACTCCTCTATGCAATATGACTTATAAAAATATCAGGGTAGTCCGAAAAGTTTCCAACCTCAACGTGAAGATGGCTCGTCAATAAAAGTTAGTGAATGTAGTTGTGCATATTCTGACATATACGCAGAAGTTATGGGTGCGTTTGGCAGAAAAAAGCAGACGTAAACAAAATGCGATTAAGAGTAAGTGTAATCTAATATATTTTCTTAATTCGACTAAAAAATATGTTTGTAAAGTATTCATATTAAAAACTTCCAATCATGAATTGTATATGTTTATTAATGTATTATATTACTTATAATATTGCACAAAACAACTTATAAACTTATTAAAAAAAATAAATAAGAAAAGATGCTTAGGTGAATGTAGTTGTGCATATTTTGACATATACGCACCAAAATTTCAGCCATTTTGGACGCGTATTTGTTATTTGACAGTCGTTTGAGTAAGTTGATGGGTGTTTTTGTGAAAATGGAAAAAAATTAGTATCGAGCTGTCATTAAAATTAAAAAAGTGTGTGTGTGTGTTTGTGTGTGTTTAGGGGACTTTGCACCATTATTTACCACAGTGAAATTTTAGGCAGCTAAATAACGTGGCCGTGAGAGTTTGGGAGACGATGAACATTCGGGATGTCCAAAAACTGCAACTACTGACGATAACAACGATACAGTTCACCAAATGGTGCTAGACGACCTCCGAATTAACGTGAAAGAGTTAGCAGAGGCTATAAAAA